GGCTTAACCAAAAGAGGGGGAAGGCTGCTGTGTTTCCCCCTCAGTGCTGTATGACAATGTCCCGCTGTTCATTATTTTGATGCGGGACTGAAATGGCATGTTTTGTAGAGCAGCAGCAGCAGCAGCAGCTAAAGATTATTGTTTTATTGACCAACGTCATCCCACTGTAAGCCCACAGGCAGGGGGCTTCAGAGGGAAAAGAAGTGGACAGCTCACTATAATTTAGCTAACTGAGCCATTTACTTAGAGCAGCCAATAACAGTTTTCAGTGGGAGCGACTGTAATGACATTAATAAAGGATGGCAGAGAGAGAAAATTAAACACTTAATGGAACTGTTTATTTTCAAGTGCTGCAGCGACTGACGGTCAAAAGGCATCTTCAGTTTTCCTCTTCAACTCTCTTTTGACCCACTTCTCTTAATTTGTTTGTCCTTCCTCCTTCAGTTTTTTTTTTTTTTGAGATGTAAAGTTTCTGTTCTCCCGCAGACTTCAAATCCTTCCTCAGGTTAAGTTGAGTCTGGTCGTGGGTGAAGGTTTGCATTCATCCTCATCACCCAAACGACGCTTCTTCTTTTTTTGCCTTTTTTTTCTGAGTCAGTTAAAAGAATTCTGGATGTGGCGCGTCTTAATCATCTTAGTGACAGCAGTTTATCAGATTTGTGTTGGAGATAAAGAGCCATAAATCCACTCCAAATTAGTTTCTTTAAAAAGAAAAAAAAAAAAAAGGTGGCTTCACTAATTTAGACTTCAGTATCAGAATTGTGATGATTGTTGTTGTTGTTGTTGGATCTGATGACTGGAGTGAAAACAGGAGCAGCAGGTGGCTTTTTGTGTGTAGATTAGCTAAAAATGTTTGCGAGCAGCCCACAGCCAGCTGACCTTCTGACCTTCATGGTATAAATCTGATTTTTTTTTAAATGGACACCAGATTTTCTTTGCAGCAGTCTGAATATATATATATAGATATGTAATGTGTTCTCTAAACTAAATCTAAGTTTAAAAGTTTGACAAATTGTCCAATGAACTTTTTTCGCATCTAAAAATTGACAAAAATACTTTTTATTTTAATTTGCTTTTTTCCTCTTGAGTGCATCGACACGCCGCGTATGACTTGACCTGCGATTAAAAGTCATGTGACAAAAATTCAGCAACTATTCAGCTGAACTCAGCTGAATGTGTTTTCACATACAGTCCTCAAATGTGTTTATAACCTTCCATTAAAGAAAAGACAAAATTTTGAATAGTCACTCAAATAACTGGAAACTGAAAAAAACAATAATAAATAAAAATTTGCAAAATTATAATTTAGTGAAATAAGATGTTGCTTGAGAATTGTGGTTGAAAAGAATTATTTAAAAAAAATTAAACGGGGCGCTGCTATAGCTCACCTGGTTGAACTGGCGTCCCATGTGCAGGGCTACAGAGGTCATGAGTTCAAATCCAGCTCATGACCCTTTCCCACATGTCCTCCCCACATTCTTCTCCCCTACTTTCCTGTCTCTCTCTCACTAACACTATCCAATAAAAGGCACAAAGGCCAAAAAAATTACTTAAAAAAACAACTCAGCACTTGGGCCAAAACACCTGTCAACCGGTGCAGACGTCTGATTGGGAGTCACAGAAAACTGCAGTGATTGGCTCAAAGGGTTGTTCAACAAAATATTAGATCACGGGTCCCATCATGCTTTTTTTTCCCTCCCCACAATATTTCTGTTGAACCACAGTTCAAAAATTGTTTTATTGGTTTTGTCAGTTTATTTCAGTGTTTCTTTCCGTCTTTTAATGGGAAATAAAAGACGTTAAACTTTTCTTTTGTCGTTGTTTTCTTCATGTTTCATTCCATTACACCTGCGCACATGGTCACAGAAGACATGTTTGTTCTTCCTTCTTCTTCTAGCCGTGCTCGTGCTGTTTCCGCAGCACGGCTTTTTACATTATCATCATTATGAATGTCCAGCGTTCACTGATCCTTCACATTCCTCCGCCTAAACGCTCCGCTGCGTTCACCGCCTTGTTGCCGAACTCGGCCCGTTTGTAGTCTGCTGCCGGGGAGGTAGCGCTCATTACGTTTGGCTGAACACAACTCTAATAAACCTACTGTACTCGCTTTAAAAAAAAAAAACAAATAAAGAGAGACTGTACCTGCTGTGAAATTGCAGCTGTGAGAGCAAAAATAAATGAATGATGAAAGAACGCTGAAGCACCTTCCTCATCACGCTGTGTACAAAATATTGATTAAGGCAGCTTTGAGTAAATCTGTTCTATTAGTGATTTAAAAAAAAAAACACAAAGACAGCTGATGGAGAATTCTGCTGTGCATGAAACAAGCACATATCTATAGATTGTTCCCTTTTTTTTCGCTCTTCCTCGTGAGATTTGACCTCAATTACATGTACATTTTTGAATGTAATTTAAAGGATTATGGGAAATTCTTCAGGTGCCAACTCCCGAGTAAGAACCCCCCCGTCTTTGATCTGCTCCATCAGGCTGCGGATGCGATAAAGCAACTAAAAAAAAAAAAAAAAAGATTCATTTATTCGGGAACTGCGCGCTCCGGCTTTGTGAGGTTCTTAATGAGTAATCTTCCGTGTTCTGTAGAAATCTTTAATAAGTGCCATTTAATGAATGAAACACATTGTGTGGCAAGTCATTAACTTTGAAAGCAACAGTGATTGCTTTTGAAGGATTAGGACACTTTTCTTTGCATTTAAATGCGTTAATTTTATTTTATTTTTTTGGAATTATCATCTTTGTAGTCAAGAGATAAAGCTGAGATTAGAGAAATTCCATTAATGAAAAGCTTTTTTTTTATTATTCTCCGCCTGTGTACCATAACTCGGTATCGTGGCAGTTCGTAGCAAAACAGACGACTCCAGACAAACGCCAGTCATTTCATGCCTTGCTTGTCACATGTCTGATCTTTGTCTGATGGAGATCAATCATGACAGGGGGATAGACAGATAATGCCTCCCCCGGCGGCGAAGACGTCCCCTTGCATGTGCTCACTTTCCCTGACAGCGTCTTAATACGAGTCTCGTCATACAGTAGACTCAGACTCCTGAACCAAGTGGAGTGACAGCACATTTGAGGGCAGAAAAAAAACATGGCTGGTGTGTAAACAGGTCACCAGCCGTCCACCGCTAGTTTTTGCAATCTCATTGTCACTGCTTGAAGAATTGATTCCGAGTCGTCTACTTGCAAGCCGACTTCCGAGTCTAAAACGTTTTGCTGATGTCTGTTTCGACGCTTGTGCATTAGAAACACTTGCAGTAAACTGGGAGAATACAGAGCTCTGCATTTAGATAAAGTTCTGACTGCAATCAATCATCTTGAAGGCGCCAAATACCGATGAAGCCGACGGAAACATCACAGATTTATGAGAAATATTTTGGACCTGTCACTTTTCAGGGTGCACTTGGGGTAGCTTAATCAATTTAAAAATGCAGAAATGTCAAATTGTTTTTAAAAATAGATGCATGGCTTATTCATATACTTAATCTTCTGTATCGCTACAGGCTACGAGGAGGGTCTGAAAACTAGAACGCAACCTGAGAACAGCTCTAAAAGTTAATAGACAAAGAGTAGTTATTGATTTTATTAGCTAATGGATAAATGGTTTCATGAAAAGGGATAAATGGTTGAAATTATTAGCTAAAAAATACTGGATGAATTATTTAAAAAGTTAAAAGTGCACAGGTTAAAGACATGGCAAATATATGTGTGTATATATATGTATATATAAATGTTCTTAAAATACAGCTAAAAATAAATTTTAAAAAAGTTTAATTTAAATAAAATAATTAGAAAGGTACGCTTAAAAAGTAATGGCTTAATAATGGAATACCTAACTAAAAATAATTGTTAAAATTTGTATTTTTTTTGTTTAAAAGCAGCGGCTGCACGGTTTAAACTGTTAACAGGAAAATTGTTAGCTAAAAATGCTGAATGAATAAGCTGAAAATTAAAAAGTAAGGGATAAAGGGTACAAAAAAGTTTGTTAGAATAAATGATTGACACGTGCTAAAAATAAACAGTTAAAAATAGGTAGCTAGTTAGTTAGAAATCTTTTTTATTGTCATTATGCATACGTTACATACACATAACGAAACTGTAGTTGGAAGTCTCGGCTTCCAGCAAAGTTAGCAATAATAAATAGTTGAAAGATGAGTGAACGAGGCAGCCTGAAGTTTATCTGTTTAAAATATTAAGGTAAAAGTAATGGGTAAACAATTATAAAACCCAACTAAAAGTGAAAAATAAATAGTTAAAATTGCTTGTTTGTTTAAAAGTAATGACTAAACAGTTGACACTGTGAGCTAACGGACAAACAATTGAAGTTGTTAGCTAAAATACTGGATAGGTGAGTTCAAGTGAACACTTAACTAAAAATAATGAAGAAATTGCCTAAATTGTTTGCTAAAAATAGTGAAAGTTTAAAATGTTAGGTAAAAATTAATGATAAACATAGCTGAAATTGCTAGCAAATGGATAAACTGTTAAAGATGTTTGGAGCTAACAGATAAATGGTGAAAACTGTTATGTAAAAATACTGGATAATTTAGTGAAACTAAAAAAAAAATAACACGTAAACTGGTTAGCTAAAAGAAATGAAATAATAGTTTTAAAAAAAATTCTGAAAATAAACACAAAATAAGAGTTGGCTTATGCAATAACAGATATAGTTAGATAGTGCAGCTAGCATTAGCCTCGATGACAGCTAGCAGTTAAACTGTTAATATACATTTGGAATTTTTTCCTATAGTAATAGCTCAATCATTTAAATACCTAGCTGAAAGTAATAAAGTTATATAGTTGAAAGAGATAGCTAATAGTTAGGCCAAATAGTTAAAACACCTAAATATAGATTCAATTTAAATGAAAAGTGACAGGCATCATTCCTGAAGAAGTTCTGAGGCTTTATTTTTGGGTAAATGATGTTCAGCAACAAACTTTAGAACCACCTCCCTCCATCATCTTCCTCTCTGGTTCTCTCTCTTCAGGCGTCATCAGAACAGCTCTGCCCAACATGGACCGGGAGACGAGGGACCAGTACGTGCTGGTCATCCAGGCCAAAGACATGGTGGGCCAGATGGGCGGCCTCTCCGGCACCACCTCCGTCACCGTCACGCTCACCGACGTCAACGACAACCCGCCACGGTTCACTCACAGTAAGACTCGGCTGCTGATTGTCCCCACAGGGTTGATTAAACCCGCACATGGCACGTTCAACAGCTCCTCAGCAATCAGGATGAAAACCTCCAGCTTCATTTGCAATGATTTTTTTTGTGTTGTTGTTTTTATCCAGTTGAATCTAAAAAAAAAAATCTATTATCACCGAAAACCCACTTGAACTAACAAACGAGCGCATACTTGTTCTTGTAGGTACTGAATGCAGTTTTGCAACAAAAAAAAGCATCACGTTGGCGAGAAATCAGTGGAAAATGTGCAACAATGAGCTGTTTCAAGAATTATTTATCGTGTAATGCGACGTAAAACAAAGTCGAGCAGAGCGTAGCTACACACAACTTCATGATTAAACCCTGTTTTTTCTAAGGTTAGCAGCGTCTCTAAATCGTCTTTATCTTTTGAAACTTTCCTCGCATTTGTATTTTCTGCAAACATTTGGACTTTTTTTTACAACCCAAATTAAAAAAACCAGCCTTCCTGCAAGGTGTGCACCTCCCCGCTTTGCTCTTCATCAGAGCCGGTGTCTGCTTCGACGTTGGATACCGGGATCAATCGGGCTCCGTTTTTTTTTTTTTTTTTTTTGTTGTCAGCCTATTTCACGGCCCGCTAATGGGTTCCAGGCCGAGCTTTAGGATTCAAAGGCATGCAGCGCTTCTCATGATAATCCGAAGCGCCGGCAATCGGTTTACCGCTGATAGCCCCGACCAACTGTCTGGCTGGTGCACTCACCACCGGACTGCCATGGAGCCGAGTCAATTTGCTGGTCCCCGGGGGGAAAAAGAAAGGTTCAAGTTTGCACAACAAGTCATCAATGTCGTTTTAACCCAGTGCTGTCACGCTGAGAAGAAAGAGACTTTGGAGGAGTTCTGGGGTTTTTTTTTTTTTTTTTTGCTCCTGCTGTCGCGCTCACGGGGTCATGGGTCAGAATCGATATACCATTATGGAGCATCAGAGCTGATAGAGTCCAGGAGCAAGTCCAAGGGGAAGGGAGCCAAGGTTAGCTCCGTGGGAAGGCGGCGGCGGCGGTGGTGGTGGGGGAGCTAGGTGCAAAAAAAGGGGGGGCAAATACGGAGGGAGGAAAGCAATTTTTTTTGGTCTTTTAAAGAGCCGCTATTCCACGGCAAATTAAAAAGCCATTATAAAGATTACATGGCGGCAAACAATGTCAGGCAGATTAGCATTTAGACGGTGGCTGAGGGAGACACTGTGAGGAACACAGAAAGGTCTGGTAATGAGCTCTGCCACGGTGATTGGAGAGATTATGATTATGAATATGATTCCCTTCTTTATTCTTATAAGAGTACTTTAAATCTGAAGGGTCAAACAAAAGCTCGGGGTAACACAATGGGAGAGAGCGTAATAGAATCTGCGAGCGAACGTTTCATCCCGTGAAATACACCAAAGGGATGTAACTGCGACTCCTGTTCTGTTTTTTTTTCCTCAGTTGAAGAGGAGAACCTGTTACGTTCAGACAGCATTTAGGCAATTTGAGATTCCGCTAAATACATACTTACAAGACGAAAACCTACAGAAAACTGAAATTGGTCTCTGCCTTCTTAATTGCATATTTTCCCTTCTCCCTTGCCTTCTGCACTGTCAGTATGAAGTGGAGGCAAAGCGCTTTATTCCGTGTGTGTCACTGCTGCTGCTGCCTGCCTGTCTGTGTTATGCAACATGAATTCATTGAGGAGCTGCACAGTCAAATCAAAGCTGAAGGGGTAGAGCGAAAGCTTGAGCTGCTTGAAGGCGAAATAAGCATTACTGTTACCAGCATCCGCTCCTGTCCTGTCTATTTTTTTTGCTTTTGCAGAGAGCTATCAGTACACGGTGCTGGAGTCGCTGCCAGTGCAATCTGTGGTGGCCAGAATCAAAGCGGCCGACGCTGATATAGGCTCCAACGCCGAGATGGACTACAGGATCATGGACGGCGACGGGCCCGGCATGTTCAACATAACTACGGATGAGAACACACAGGAGGGGGTCATCATCCTGTTAAAGGTACAGCTTGAACAACAGGATGGGGTTTTTTTTTTGTAGCATAACAGGGACTCAGGAATCCTAGCTCAGTCAGACCTGGGAATAGAACCGGTGAGCCAAGACTTGTTGTTTTGTACCAAGACTCCCCTCCCATAAATAGTGCTGCTGAAACTCAGTGACACAGAGTAACACGCCGAAGTTATAAAGCCGTGCTGGCACGCTGGGCTGGCTTTACATGCTGCTCGGTGTGTGGATCAGAGTGGTGTGGCTCAATAAATAGAGTCAAATCTATTCATTTTTCTACTTGCAAGTATAAGAGGTAGCACTTTTAAAGATCTCTTCTAGTGAAAATCAAGGTTCTGACCTTGTTAATATGTCCATATTGTGTTTTTTT